ACAGATGTTAATCATTTTTCCTTAAAATTAATAACATAATTTTATTGAAAAATTTTACACATTGATTTACTATCTGAGGTATTGTTTAAAACAAGCGTTCTTTAAGACTTCTTTTATTCAAACATACACAAAATTTAATACCAGTACTTAGGAAAATAGATTTATCCAGATCCTTTATTTGTTTCTGTTCAAATTCTATAACATTCCACTGTGTTATTTCCTCAGTCTCAAACTTGCTCTCATTGGTTTTAGTTCCAAATTCATTTCTATACAACAGCTCCCTCCTGGTGCTTCAAGGTGCAGCCAGTGTACACTGTGCTGACTTCTCTGATCATTACATGCTGGAGGTATTTACTCTCCTCTGAGTTAGTCTGCCACTTACCATACATTATTTTGACATTATACCCCAGCACTTAGTGGGGTGCCTGTCACACAGAAAATCATATGTATTTGGAGAATCAATGAGTGAATGAATTCATAGAATATTCATATGGTATTCATCAGGGTTTATACTGTCTATTTCCTCATGGTTACAGACAGAAATTTTGGCCGTTCTTTTAAAATGAAACTAGATGGAAGACCAGAATCATTCCTAATATACTTTTCAATCATTGTGTTCCTTTCTTCACCAGGATATAGGAAGTACAAACAAATTTGTTAAATTGAATTGTATCCACACGTCTCACTCTATGATGAAGTAATCAGGGCCAAGGGATTCCAAAGTCACTTAAAATTGAGTCCAAGATATTTCCTGAATCCTGATTCAGCTCCCATGTACTCATGCAAAACAAGAATTATGAACTTTTATTTTTTGCCTATTATTTCCGAAGTTGAAATTATTGAAACCTGTGGAGTAATCCCATTTCTTCTTTATTATCAATCCACAGTCTGTATTGTCCCATCTAAGTTAAAGTAAGCAAACTATATTCAGTATCCTATTCAGCATGATGAATAGATTTATTTGGGATAATTAGGTTTTATATTTTAGAATAAAAAGAATTCCTAATTAAGCTGATATTACACAAACCTCAGTTAAATGAAATTGTATTAAATTAACTTTAATTATGACCTTTATTGTAATATCAACTTTTCCTTAAAATAATAATTTTAAAAAATAAAAGAAATAAATCCTAGCAACTTTTTAAAAAATATTTATTTTTTTAGTTTTAGGTGGATACAATATCTTTATTTTTTATTTTTATGTGGTGCTGAGGTTTGAACCCAGTGCCTCATGCATGCTAGGTGAGCACTCTGCCACTGAACCACTACCCCAGCCCCTAGCAACATTTTAAAGAAAAAATATCTCTGTTAATAAAGTTTCCCTCTGGATTTTTTTGAAAAAAATATGTCTCTTAAAACAATGATTAATTTAGTAGTAACAATTAATAAACTAGACTTTGAAAAGTGGCAGAGGCCTTAAAAATATAAAGGAAATTGTGGGAAAGTTTATCCCCCAAAGAAATTAGGAAGATCTATCTCTGAGAGCCAACATCTGAATAGGGATTCAAAGGGAAGGTTTGGTGTTAATGTTCTAACACAGGCTCCAGATTTGATGTTTGGGTACCTACCACTGGTCTTTTCACTACTATATGGTGAATCCTTAAGACTAATGTACAGTTCTTACTCATCTGAGTATCTAAAGTATCTGGCTCAAATAAATAAATATTGGATGAAAGATTAAATGGACAAAAATATACAATGGTATAAAGTTTTCATTTCCATAGGATCAGTTTAATTTAGTTTGTATATACTCAATCTGATGAGCAGATTTAAGTAACATCAAAAGTAAATGGGACTGGGGCTGTAGCTAAGTGGTATAGATTTACCTAGCACTTGTGAGGCACTGGGTTCAAGCCTCAGCACCACATTAAAAAATAAAATAAAACAAATGTTATTGTGTCCATCTATGACTAAAAATATCTTTTTAAAAGTAAATAATGATTCTCGTGTCAACTTCAAATCCAAAGTATGAACATAATATAACACTACTCTATGTGAGCATACATGATATACTAGACTTTTGACCAAAAATAATGTTCCAGTTTTTGTTTTATCACAGCCTACAAATATTCAAATTATTTGTGCAGATTAAAATAAAGATAAAATATTGGTAATAGTTTTATATGTATATTTTAGATTTATGTTTGAATATGTTGCCATATTCCTTAAACAAATAAAATCCACTCGGTAGTTTAAAGCGAGAATTACTAGAAAAAAATATAAGAAACTAAACTATAAAAAACATGGCATGAAAAAGGAGAGGTGATATTTTTGAGGTAAATCCATCAAGTTTTCCTAAAGAAAAACTAAATGATTTTATCTAACAAAATACAGAATAATAGGCCTCTTATTAGAATTGTGGTGAGGCTAGCAATGTTACTCATAAAGCTTACGTTAAATAAACCTGGGTAAAGGAACTTAAGTAAACTTCAGGAACTACAAGTCTTATGAGAAAATTTCTATCTCAGTTATGTTATTCTATCCATTACCATTTGAGTGTCCCCTCCTCTTCAACACAGGCACATATTGTGTTTCAACATATTATGTTTCAATTACTAATGTTATTTACATATTTAAGGAGATGCATATACTTTAGAAGTATCCAAATTGAAGTATTGGTCTTAAGTAACCAATAAAAGCCTTTTATCTATCACTGAAAACTATGAATAATGTGCAAAATCATCCAGGTTTGGACAAGTCTCAGAAAGTTGTCATCCCACTACTTCTGTCCATAAACAACATAATAAAGAAAGAAAAAAGAAAGAAAGAAAGAAAGAAGCAAACTCTTCCAGACACCTCATTAACACAAGTTGTTCTGAAATACTATTTATTATTCTCATCTTAAATAATTTTTAAAACTCTGGTTCTTAATATAGAATTCTAATACCCCCCCCCCGCCCAAAAAAATGCAGTGGAATAATTTTACTGAATTCAGATCCAATCTCTTTTAATTTACCCTGCTATGATCTTCTGTCCTGGAATGGCAGTTTATTATTCTAGATGTACTGAACATTCTATGATAATTTTAAAGTCAACTACTATATACTCAAAGTTAGGCAAGCTGGGGTCTGGAGGGGGCATAGACATTAATATATATTACATAGAGTTCTAAATTTATAAGTTAATTAATTCATTTCCTTCAACTTTCTGTTAACAGTATTATTATAATTTAATGTGGATCCAGACAATTCCTTTAACAAATGAGCATGTCAATTTTGAGCTTATGAAATACCAGGGATTTGGCATCTACACAGGAGTCTCTCTGCTGCTGGTTTATTGCCCTGCCTTAATCAGTCCACCTCCATCAGCAAGTCTTTTTAGAGAGTCAGTGACCCATCCATAGGTGCAGTCATGCTGCATGCAGCACTATTGTTTAACACTGTGAAATCCTGCCTGCCAGACGGTGCCATAGGGAAATGGCGTCACTGGCAGGTGGCTGGTTTTCCTTGATGTTTCGATACCTATTTCTGGCGAAGATGCTTTCCCCTCCTGATTTTGCTACTCCCTCTCCCTTACAAAAAGCTGTCTTCCCAAGAGCCTTCCCCTAGTGTCAGGGACCAGAGTTCATTTCTGTCAGTTTTCAGGTTGATAGCCCATCACAGGGTAATGTCCAAACATGGGGAATTGTGATAATTAAACTTCTTTTTTTCTTTGCACAGAATAACTAATTGTAAAAATTGGCAGTCTGCCTGCCATTTGAAAGTGAAGAAAACATCTTGTTTTAACATCTGAGCAGGGATTTTTTTTTGTAATCTGTAAACAATTGGACCATATGTAGTGTGATGGGAAACATGAAGGCTGTGATGGAACATCATTGAGGAACCTTGTGTTTAATCACTGTTCTTTGATTCACTGAAATAGAAATTAGCTTTTAAGTTCTGGGTTTTATCATGTTTTAAAGAGACCATTTTTCTTAAAATATCAGACAGCACTAACAATTTACCAAGTCATAACTGAGAGAGAGGCAAAGGAATTCTGATTTTTGAAATGTAAATATGTTTTTAAGACACCTAAACAGGTAACAGATGTAGCCATGGGCTTTCATAGCCTTTGTTTTGGCCTGCAGTCACTTCTATGATACAAAAGACTCTCCACACAATATGGTTCGACTCTGAGGAGGTGAATTCCTTTTATAAATAAATTCTGTTGATGAAATTGAAGTCAAACAAACAAACAAATAAAAATCAGCACCGATTAAGTTAAAAATCTTAAACAAGAGGATTGTACCCTCTCCTAATTTTACTCTTTCCCAAATTACTGTGCATTGCACGGGCAAGCTAATGGAGATAACTTGAATTATTCCTATCTTATGAAGGATTCTTACATATCATGATTAAATTTCTTTGTATTTAGTTGGTAGCTTAAAGGAAAATAAAATGACCAAAAGAATTTTGAAATAACTACAATCCGTAGCACCTACAAAGAGAGACGCAGAGCTCGGTCTGTGGCTGCCTTGCCTCTGTGTAGTCAGGTTCTCAGTGACTAACTTTATCTTTCTGTGCCTTGGTATCCTTTTCCCAGAAATTAGTTGGTTAGATCAGATCATCAATTTTAAAAAGCAGTGAGAATGAAAAGAAAATCAGAATCCTCTGAAGAACTTTGGACAAATCATGGATGGGGGAGTGTGTCTCCTTCAACTTAAGCTTCTCTTTATCTCCTTCCACAATCACTGCTGGCAAGCCACTCTTGACAGTTGGAAGTAAGTCCTGTTGGAGAACACTGGCCCTGAGAACTCTCAAGAATAGCCTGTTTGGAACTATTGAAGTCTTAAAAGACTCTCATTTTTGGATGTATTAGATCTCATATTTTTCACTCTAGGCCCCAGCTATTTTTTGACTAAAATTTTGATTGTTTTAATTTTGATAATTTTAAGATTGTGTTGTGTCATTGTCCCACATCAAATTTAAGTAGGAAGAACACATGTACTGACATTCTGCCATGAATTCCTTTATGCCTCAACTGTCTCCCAATTTCAGGCTATTTTGGAAAGCTGTACTTACAGGTCTCAGCCAGCAAGCTGAAAATGACAAAGGAGCCCTCCACTTCTCTGCTGTAAAAGTTGTACTTACCTTGTTTTCATGAAACCAACCTCCGTTTCCAAGGAAACAAGAACAAAAAGGCAGTTGGCAGCTAGCATCTGGGACTTAGAAGAACTCTCACACGTCAATTTCAACTGCTGGCTGCCGGCTCAAACCTAAAAAATGTGGGGTATTAAAATCACCTTCAGACTTTTAACACACAAAAGAATATTAAACAAGTTACTTTTTATTCTTAATTTTAAAATAATTGAGTTTAATAGAAAACCATTTAAAATACCCTGGAAAGAATATAATAATTTAAGTGCATTATAATTGAGAGAAATAATACAAATTCAAATTTTATTTTAAAACTTGGAACATATATTTAAGAGATATTTTCTCAAATTTACATCATACCTTTTTCCCCCATTCTCTGTTTTTAGTTTAATTATGTTGAATTCTTCCTTTTTAGTGCTTTCTATTTTCTCAACTTCTTACTACTACTACTACTACTACTACTACTACTACTACTACTACTACCACCACTACTACTATTAGTCCTTCTTCTTCTTACATCTCTTCCTCCTTTCCACCTCTTAAACTCTTCCTCCTCTCCTTCTCCTCCTCCTCCTTCTCCTCCTCTTTTTCCTTTTCCTCCTCCTCCTCCTCCTCCTTCTTCTTCTCTCATGTGGAAATGTACCTTTTGCAAAAAATATCTTTTCATGAGCCCCAAAAGTTTTGCAGTCATTTGTCTTAATTATTCTAATACAGTGTTTCTAATAGATTGATGTTTTCTCTTAAAGGTATAGTTTTGTGATTCTAGGTTGGATACCCATACAACACATTGTGTCTCCTCTGAGTAGTTAGTTATTGTTTGTGTTGCATGGTTATGTATGTCAGAGTTCTCTACTGTCCTTACCATCCATATAGCTGGCAGGCCATTTAACTTCATGATTCCTAGAATCATTAGGGTTTATGGGACTCCTGCTAAAACATAAACCTAGCTGGAATGCAAGATTTGGGAAGCAGTGAAAGATAAGATTTTTTTTTAATTGAAAGAAGAAATTTGTGGAAATAGGTTAGTCCTTTAGGCATTCTTAGGAATTGATTTAATATTTTGGGGGAAAATGGAGTTTCAAACTGATACTTAAAAATATTGAGTTATATTATTTTATATTATTGTGGTATTTTATTACCATCTTCAATTTAAAAATGTCTTAGCATTTACCTCCTTGACTGTTGTCATTTAATAGTGTATCAGTGTCATTTGAACTTCAAGACATGTATGAATAGATATTAGCTGATAAAGTATTGTGGAAATTGTATGTGCAGCAATTTGTCACATTTGCAATGTGGACTTAATCCTTTTTACCGCTAGTCTATTTGTAAGGGGTTATAGGGGAATTTGTATACATGTAGAAATTGTCTCCAAGTTAGATTTTGCAATAGAATAATAATGATATCTTTTCTTTTCCACAAAATAAAACTATAGGAAATATCAAGGTAAATTTATCAAAAAAACACTTTTATCGTAACATCTCTTAATTTATCTATCCCCAAATTTATAAAATCCATGAGTTTTTTCTTTTCTGGGTAAAGAATCCTAAAAATATATTTTTTATTTGTGAATTCAGATGATGTTTAATATTTTCACTTCTTGTGGGGTAGGCAAAAAGGATTTTCATGTTCAATACCTATTGCTATTGTAAGAGAAAAAAATTCACGAGGAGAAAAATTATCACAACTTTCTTGGAAACCATAATATGGCTATACAACTGATAGTTTATAAATAATTGACACATTACAAATGACAAAATTGGTCACCTATGTTTGAGAAATGTTTTAAGTATGAAAAATATTGCAAAATGTTCTTGAAAATTTAATCAAATTATAAGATGAAACCAAATCTCAACATTATTGTTTTAGTTTTTATTTAGTTGAGATATAATTCAGATAACATAAAATCATCATTTGAAAAAGTAAACTTTGGGGCTGGGGATGTGGCTCAAGTGGTAGCACGCTCTCCTGGCATGCGTGCAGCCCGGGTTTGATCCTCAGCACCATATACAAACAAAGATGTTGTGTCTGCCGAAAAACTAAAAAAATAAATATTAAAAAGTTCTCTCTCTCTTTCTCTCTCTCTCTCAAAAAAAGTACACTTGATGTTTTAGTATATTCACAACATTGTACAACCTGAACCACTTTTAAGAGGAACCTTTTTGTCATCCTGAAAAGGAAGCTACTGTCAATCCTTTCCCTCCATTCTCCTGCAATGGTATGCATATTTGACTCTATAGATCCACCTATTCTAGACATTCTGTATAAATAGTATCATATAATGTGTGTCCTTTATATTTGGGTCCTTTTATTAAGTAGCATGTTCAAGGTTCATCCATATTGCAGCATATATCAGTACTCCCTTCTTTTATATATTCTATAATATTTCATTGGTGGGTTTCAAACCCACCAATCTTTAATGTTGTACTTATTCATTTATCAGTTAATGGAAATTTTCTCTTATTTCTATTTATTGGCAGTTAGAAAGCAAATTGCAATTTTTTATGGTAGTGCATACACTTTACCACTAAGATACATTCCTGGTCCTTTTTATTTTATTTTTGAGACAGAGTCCCCTCCCTAGGTTGGCCAGATTGACTTTGAACTTGTGATCTTCCTGCCTCAACTTCCTGAGTTGCTGGGATTACAGGCATGTGCTATCACACCCAGCTAAAAATACAAATTTCCACAAAAATATTATCCCCATTTAATTTTACTTTCTTGAAAATAAATTCATAGTTAAAACATTAGTCCAACAGGGCCTTTCTTATCTTTTCTAATAAGCTTTTATTAAACATTTCTTACTATCATCTATTATGAAAATATATATTAATATAGAAGTTAAAAGGACATACTTGGGAAAGACACTCTATTCTATTTGATATACATTTTTTTTTTTTGGCAAGGCTGAGAATCAAGCCCAGTTCTTCACATATGCTGGGCCAGTATGTTACTACTGAGCTGTATCCCCAACCCAGATGTTCAATTTTAAAAACAGAAACAGTAATAAAAACAATGTCTTTATGATATTGGGAATGAGGCAGAAGGCAGAAGAATATACAATTTTGTTCATAAAATTTATTTTTAGGAGCTCATCATCGATAAGTGTATAGATTACCTAATGCTATGTTAGCCTCTGAGAAAGAATGTCCTTCTTTCAGAAAACTTGTTTCTCCATATCCATCATTTACTCTTTCTCAATGTCCACCACTGTCTTTCACTTACTGCTTCCTTTCCAATCATTTAATACATCAACATGTTTTTATGTTTAAATACTTTCCCAGCTGGTCAAGTTCAGATAACTTAATCTGCCTTACACTAATCATCTTACCAATGAGTTCTTAGTAGGTCCTTGACTCTTTGGGAAAAATTTTAGGATACAGAAAAAATGCAGCGTACCCCCAAAAGTCCAAAATGCCTTTCTATAAATGTAGTATGTGTATATACCAAAATGGGAGAAAATAAAGATATGAAACATGTATTTCCAAAGACAAATAAGTGATAATGTATAAACTTTTATCAGGATAAGACCATTTCATAGAAGGAGGGTAAAATTAGATAAATAAATCTTAAGAAGGTGACTATCTTTATCTGCCTCAATATATATCTTTGGAGAGGTTCTGTTTTACTAAATTTTATCAACTAAACCTCATTGAGAGTTAAGGGCACTGAAAAACCAAAAACAGAGAGAAAAAAGAGAAGGTTACTGAAATGGGAAGAGAATATCTAATAAAAATCAATCTGTTATGGAATGTAAGATGTTCCAATGGTTTTGTAAGATTTGAGATATATTGGTAACAAAATATTTGAGCAAATAAAATTCCAAATAATGTGAATTTAACCTTGGCCATTATACAGATCAAGCTTCTCTAAATTTTTAAATTATATGGAAAAGAAGAAGTAAATCGGGCATGGTGGCGCATGCCTATAATCCCAAGGGCTCAAAAGGCTAAGATAAGAGAATCGAGTTCATAGCCAGCCTCAGCAAAGGCAAGGCACTAAAAAATCAGTGAGACTCTGTCTCTAAATAAAATACAAAATAGGGCTGGGAATAAGTGTCCGAGTGCCACTGAGTTCAATCCCCATTACACCCCCCGAAACCACCTATCCATGGGCTAGGATAGAAGAATGTATTGTATGGATACAAATGCAAATACTGTGGAAGAACAAGAAAGAATTGCAAAAATAAAAAATAAAAAAAATATCAATAACTTTGAAGAAAAGACTGGAGCAAGATAATCATAAAAAAGAACTGAAGAGTTTTGGGAAGGCCAGTTAATATTGTACCTAATCAGTTCAAATTTTAAACTGTATTTGATTATGACACTTTCCTTGGATACAGATAATCAAATAAGTGGCATGTGAAACATCAGATACAAGAATAGATATGCTAAAGGCTATTTTCTACAATTCATTGCAAATTATAATATGATATAAATGTGAGAGACAGATTTAGGGGTTCATATATAAATAAGTATTAATTGAATAATATCATATATTAGGTGCATTTCTGAAGCTTGGCTTTGCTAAGTTTCCTTACCTCTCCATGCATGTTCAAGTCTTATTAGACTGCTTGGATTCCTGCAGTAATAAACTGATGCCATCTTTATCTCTTTAGAATATGTAACTACCTTGTCCACAAATAACAGAAATGTAGAGACTGGCATCTAAACTATTTTATATGGGGAGTTCACATCTATGTAATTCCAAAATTCTCTTTTTAATGTTCTTTGATGGGTCACCAATATACACTTTTTGTTGCATATCAAAGGACCTTGTTATAATGGGTGTGATAGGGAGGCTATTTTTTTTTTGAAGTCTGAGAAGTGAGGTGTCTTATTCAGTCACACAGTTCATTCAAGCACAATGAAAACTAGAACTCAGGTATTAACTGTGAACTTCTGAGTGCAGAAGCTTCCCTATCCCCTTTGAGTGCATGGGTGAGCTCTGTACATAGTGGGATGGAACATTCATCTCTTGAGAGAACCTTAGAAAGATAT